TAAAAAAAAACTTAGGTAATTTACTTTAAGAACTACATAGATCAAGGCATTGTGTTCAAAAGTTGTAATATTCAAAAGAGCTACAAAAGAAAAATGGAGGCAGATTTTTAATGGATTTGTTTTCATCCATTTTTCAAAAAAGAAAAACTCAAGGCCATGTAAAAGGGTATTCCCTAAATACCTCTGCAGGCTAGGAACCATGGGAACTCTATATTTTTAGAGGGCACTGCTTTGTTTCTACTTGATGACAGTGCATTTGTTTTGCATGTTTAAATGCTGACATCCTCCTCATGCAAGTTATGAACAAATCCTCTACGCGCATGAAAAGAATTGAGTTTGGCTTCCCTCTTGTGGTGACACAGGGAGTTTGCTATGATTTCTGTCTTTACAGAGCTACATGTTGTCTGTTTTTGTATTTCTTGATAAGAAAGAGAAGTAAAAAAAAATCACCACAGTGATTATAATTTTTAAATATCATTATACTATCTTAATATTCATCATTGTAATATAGGATGAGATAATTTACACACATTTCTAACCGACGCTAACCCAGTTGTTAATGTACTTGGGAAAACATAAACCTAAAAGAGATCTACATGAAGTTCTTTTCATGTACTTTTACGTCACCCAATAATAAATACAAAGAATAGTCCTGACTTTATTGATCCCCTACTTTGTTTGTTCACTTGTTTATTTATCATTTTCACATCTTCACTTTGCCTTTGGATAGCATGTTCTACAGTACTTGAAAGATATTGGAAGACTAACAGCTGAAGTTGCACTGCCAGAGGCACCCATAGGGGATGAATCCAAAAAGACTAGAAGATGGGGCTCCAGTTGCACAGTTGTGGTTGCCAACTTGCCTTTTTTTTTTTTTTTTAACTTGGAGACACCCCTCACAAGGGCTTCCATTTTGTATAGCATAATGCTAGAACAGTGTCTGCGAGGCAGGCTTGCTTGTGCCTGCATCTTTGATTGGACTTACCCATTGTACTGAATCAAAATGCAGCTGGACGTAGTATGAATCCAGGATCTTGGTTTATAAATCACAGTCTCTGACTCAGTGTTATTTGTGAAGCCGGATAATTGTGGTTTATTCAATAAAGCTTCATTAAACAAGCTTAGGCTTCATTCAGTGGATCGACATAAACTTTCCACATTCTGGCACTTTATCGTTTTGTGCTTGATCTTTGGCTATCTTTTGACTTTGCTAAACAGGACTGCAGATATTTACAAACTATCTTTTCGCCCCAGAGCAGGAGGTTTATATTTGTCCAGGTTTCAGAGATGAGTGTCAAATTTTGGAATGCTATTTCACATATACAGTAAGTTTCATTAAAATGATTCGGAGGGAGGGAGGGAGGGAGGGAGGGAAGGAAGGAAGGAAGGAAGGAAGGAAGGAGGCGGGTAGGCAGGCAGGCTTATTTATCTCCTACTGTTGTATATGATTTCTGGGATTTTCCTTTCCATCCCCTCTTTTTTTCTTTTTAATTGTGAATTCAAAAAGTATCTCAATCTGCCAACTGGGTAACATCTCAAGATGTTATCTTCTTTTGCACAAGGCAATTGACCCTCCATTGTGTTGATCCCTAGCTTGTTGCATTTGAGCAAAATAATATCTTTTCTTGAAGGTAACATTATTTCTTTATTTTCAAACCCTTCTTCTGCAATAATGGGGTTGAGCCACTGGGTTTCCTTATTTACATATTTAGATTCAAAAAAAGGAAGTGGCGAGGCTGACTAACTTGCTGACAGGTTTTCTGAGAAAGAGACCGTTCAGCTCATACCGGAAACCTTGCTGTCTTCAGTTGCAGCACACTTCTAAGGAGAGCCCAAACCTAGGAATTCAATTCAATTTAAATTATTTCAGTGGATCTGCTGTATTTTTCCTGTCTCAGTTGTTGCTGGGGAGAAGTCCTATGGTGAATCACAGCCAAGGTTAACATGTTTTGCTTCCTCACTGGCTAGCCAGGAACAGAAATGGATTCACGAAGCACGCCCTATCGCTCTGAAGTAGCTCGCTGGTCGCCAAATGACTTGGCAGACTACTTTAGGAGGGTAAGTTTCATTTAAATTGAACAGTTTCATCTTTACCATTCCCAATTACCATTCCCAATTTTCCCAGTTGGAAAGCCTGAGCTGCAAAATGTATATTTTCCTCATATCCAGAAAATACATTTTCCTATTCATATATATTTTCATGTAACTGCAGCTCTCCAAAGTGATCCTTCCAAGAAAATTTAAAATCTTAGCTTGCATCTAGGGAGAAATGGATGTATTATCTTCTACATTCATTCCGCTTATTGGTAATAAGAGCCTGGAATTCTGTTGGTTGGCAATAAAGTCATTTGGTTTCTCTGTAAAATGTGAGTGAATGACTGCCATTCCAGACCTAAAGCTACAAGCAGCCAGATTATTTGGATCCAACCTGTATCATGATCCAAATCTATCTAGGCCTTGAAGGTAGAATTTCTCCCTCAAAGCAAAGCTTGAAGCTTAGCTGACTTTTGAAGGCCCAGAATTGAAGGCTTTAAATAAAGCAAAGGACACATTTCTCACTATTCTCCCTGGGAATTAATGCCAG